AAAAAATTGGGAAGAAACTATTTTAGTTCGTCGATTTTGCTGCTTCAATAGGCAAGTGTCTAATTGAAATAATGCAAAATAATGCAGACCAATGAAAATGATATTTGGAAAGGATTCCTTTAAAGAGCTTGCAAAAAAGATTAGAAGAATGCTTGGAAGGATAATTTGATTCCGTTGTTTTTGTTTAACGGCTCATCAACCAGTATTTATGCCGAAATCTAAATTCAAATTTAAATTTTATAATCAATTCAATAGAATGACATTAATTCATGATTAAATTATACTTATATAGCTGCATTTTTTTTTAACCAAATAATTTACAAAATCAAACGCGGAATGAAAACGTGTTTCTCCTTACAAAAAATGAGATTAATCATAGCAAATTTATATTTTATCTTTTTTTACAATGTATTTAATTTTACTATTAAAATGTATTATTGGTCATTTTTATTATTAAAATGTATTGTTGGTCATTTTCACTATTAAAATGTACTGCTGGTGATTTCTAATATTAAAATGTATTGTTGCCAGTATTTTTATTATAAAAATATATTTTTATACTTTCCTAGTATTTTTATAAGCCTAGATGGCACAAGACTTGGTCTCAAGAAATCCATGAGTCAAGAACCACAGAAAGGAGTTGGTTTGTTGATCTTGTATAGCGGCAGAGGCTCTTCAATGCCGAAATCCAAATATTTTGAACACAATGTTATGGCTTCAACAAGAGTATTGCTGGTCATCTATAAAAGCCAGGATGTGTGTGTGTGTGTGCGTGTGTGTGTGTGTGTGTGTGTGTGTGTGTGTGTGTGTGTGTGTGTGTGTGTGTGTGTGTGTGTGTATGTGTGCGTGTGTGTAACGAATGTACGGCAGCAAATGTCGACGGATTTGCACCAAAATTTACATGCACATGCTCCAAGTTAGCAAGAAGGCCAAGACCAACTTTGCATTTCCCAACTCCCGTCGATAGTGGAAACAATCGATGTTTTCATGCTTCTACGGCACTTTTCATGTAGTTTGCGGCCATTTTGTACTGGCCAGAGTGAGCGCCAATAGCTGGCTGCCACGAATAGGCAGGAAGATTCTATTGGCCAGAGTAAGAGCCAACAGCTGACTGATACGAATGTTAACTAGCATGCTAGCATGCAAAAAAAATCGATAGCTGCATTCGTCACAAGTGGGAAAAATTTAAATCTGCATGGCACTTTACTCCAATTGGCTCATTCGCTTGCTTAAACTCAACGTTGATTCTGATTCCGCAGAACTGGGTTCGGTGTGAAAAAGTATTTGTTGTTAACATTCTTTTTTCATTCGGTTTTTCCAGTTACGAGTCCTTTTTTAAAGCTTATCTTTTTGTGTTCATTTTGTTTAGTTCTTTAATTCGTAACAGATTTAATGTTTAGTATAGAGCTTAGAAACAATTCGTAGTGTGAGATAGGCAAGAAGTAGGGCATGTAGCAACATCAGCACGGCAAAGGGCACTCTTTTAAAGGCAAGGAAGGGCAAAAATATTTTAAGTCAAGTGATAGCGATTGCTGTATGAGTCGTACGATTTTTGAATCAAGCACGGGCAACGCCGGGCCATGCTGCCATTTTTTCTATAAAATGCATCGTTGGTAATTCTACTATAAATCTGTACTGGTAATTTTACTATAAAAATGTATTTTTATACTTACCTAGCGTTTTAATTTTTTTTTGTTTGTTTGTTTGCAGGTTCATTATTTGTCCATAGCTGGTACCCTAACAGGTACTACCACACCGGATCAGAATGATCCTGGGAACAGCAATTAAGGAATGGCGCCACACTCCTGAAAAGCTCTAGTTTCCCGATCACAGGCCTTGCTGTCGGATGTAGTTTATCGTCATACTCAGGAATATGCTTGGTAGGAATGAAACCATTTAGACGTAAGTATCACAAAGATCAACAAGAATATCTAGGAAAGATATGAAGTAGTGAAGAGGCTTGCTGTCACTTGATATTCAGTGACAGCCACCAATTACTACAGGTGCGAAAACATAATGAATACGTATAATAATAATAATAATAATAATAATAATAATAATAATAATAATGCAAATAAAATAAAATAGTAATGACTTTTATGATGTTAAAAGTAGTAGTTGAAGTAGTTGTAATAACTTTGCTAGTAGATAAGAAAAATGGGAAAGAGAGAAAAAGAGTGAGAAAAACGAAGCGAGGTGAGGTAGACGCAGACGCGGGGGTGGATAATTACCCTAATAACAGAATAATTGATAAAAGCTCGTCCAGAAAATAGCCATAAGTGTGTTTATCCCCGACGGCTTCGATTGCGATCGGAAGCCCGCAGCGGAGAGGAAAGCGAAATGCTGGAGGCGGCAGGATGGAGGAGGCTTCAGGAATACAAAAAGAGAAACGCCATAAAAGAAGAATAGAATAAAATGGCATGTGCAAAAGGTGGGGGGAAAAAAGACAGCAAACGGCGCAGAAACCAAATCCTGAATATTGAAGCAACTAAAACAATCAAGCACTTGAGAGAGGATTATTTTGGGAAAGACAGATTAGGCAACGATTAGCAATGCTCATATTTCAAGAATAGCAACTTCATATCTGATCATGTCGTGTGGGAAAGCTTACTGGTTAGATAACAAGACAAGAGACTAGAAGTTTTCCGAGGCGACCGCACGTAATATAGTTGTGGTCAACTTGTCAACACAAGCTCGTCTGGGAAAATAATTCACTAGACTCATATTAAAAAAAAATAAAAATTAAATATTTGATCCCTGACTTGAGAGTATTGGTTCCAGTAAGTTATCAAATTCCACGTTGGACAAAAACATGCGTCACATTCTGTGTCAATAGGCGCAACGCTAAATGCTAACATAGTTCAACTGGCTCAACTTGGTCGAAGGGGATTAAAATTAAATTTATTGATCTCACAATTTTTGAGCTCCGTCACTGAATCTAATTAACGCCTTTATCCACTGCGCCATGTGTCCTTGAGGCATTAGTCAGATCCAGTGACAGGACAAAAACAGTGTGAGTTCAATACCCGGTTAAGGCAGTGGAGAAATTTCAAAGGGAAAATTAACAGGATATAAATGATAACTGGCATCCATTAAACATGGTAGGTGGAACTAGAACAGTCTACCCCAGTGAGCGAAATAAAAGGTTCAGTTCGACATTCCAACTACCTGAAGAAGGCCGGACAGAAAACGTATGCGTGAGAAAATGACATAATGTTTTCAACTTTGAGGAAACAGATATATAAATAATGGACAACTGTGCTTGATATAATGTTGGATGTTTTGCCGTAAGGAGGCGTATAAGAGGCGTGTACTTATTCAACTAACATCACATTATCTGAGAGATATTAAGCGTAAACTATGTATGTTAAAATGCTCGATTAAGCACATATCTATTTGCATATATCTGTATCCATCTCTCTCTATATATATTGCATGCATGCAGGGACAAATTTATTGAAAGGAAAAGTTTGACATTTTTCTATGCCAAGTATACGAGCATTTTTTTTATAGCAAATGAATCGTAACGATGCGATTAAATAGGCAGTTCTTGACGAGCATTAAAATGTAAATTTGCCATCGCAGGCTAACTCCCAGCAATTTTAGACATTGTTAATATCTATCCATAACTGTCATTTTTTGTGACAATTGATGCGAATGGGTTAATTTTACGTACATACATACATACTTATGTTTGTGTGTTAAAATTGAGATAAAAATTAATATATCCAACAAAAAATTGGGCAGCTCGAACTGGTGTAATGGCTAGCAAACATGTCTGGGCGCCTATTACATTCGGCCTTTTGCCACAGCCAAGCTATGCTTGAAAAATCACTATAAGTAGTGTTTTATTATTGGACACCTCAAGTTGGTGTCATGGTTAGCAATCTTATCTCGCTAGAACAATTACGACTGAGTAGTGAGTTCGATCCTCACTGGGTTCAGCATACTTTCGGCCTTGTGCTACTTTGTAGCCTTGCTACGCTTGGAAAACCACTATCCAACGAAGAATATTAATGAAATGACAAAATATGAAAACTTATTTTTTCATCTTCTGGAATTTGATCAAAGCTGTATTTTTACGGACAGAAAAAGTATGCATGAGAAAATGTTTTCAACTTTGAGGAAATTGTGAAAATTATCGAAAATCTCTTCTTTGTTATGAAAAAAAGGAAAATATGCAGGACGCTAATTTGCCTTTGATGAAATTCTTGAACGGACCAAACATATATTTATATATATATACGGCCGAAACGTTGTAATAAATATGGCGACAAAGATGAGGACATTAGTCCGAATAATGTAAATAGTGTACATAATACCTCATCTCAGAAATATAGAAAGATTGATATTACATGGCAGTTCATGGTTCTTTGTTTCTAATGAATATTTCCTGTTTCATAATATTTTACTTAGCTTCTTTTTTTCATCATCATTACATTGGAATCTGCAGACAAAAGAAGAGCACTGTTTCATATTAGATGTAGTTACAAATGTTTACATAATCCAAATCGATGTCTTCACATTTGTGATTGTACACGCACAGACTGTAGTCTATGAAGAAATTAAACAAACTGAAGTTCTCATTTTCACCATGTCGTACTCCTAATGAATTTTAAATGATTCGCTCTTTGTGTATTCACCAAACATATAAAACTTTGGTGATCGATACAGTTCCTCTATCAGGTCAAGGCATTCACTCTGGTTGATTGATTAATTGATTCATTCATTTTTTACGGATTATAAACCCTTTGCAGATTATTTAAAGCCGAAAATATTTTTTCTTTAGACCGCAAGAAATTTTTGTTTTTAGATAATAATGGTTTCCCTATACAAGCATTCCTAATTAACCCATATCTGAGGGAAGAAAAGGTGGGCTAATAGATTTCCCAAGGGTATTTGCGTGTCAGTGAATATAACCAACCCAACTGGAATTGGAACTAGGTTCTACCATTAGCAATTTTGATCCATTATTCATTACACCATCCGCACATTCAAGCTTTCAGCACCTGGTATTCCCAAGCGGTCACCCATCTAGGTACTGACCTAGCTTGCCGTTGCTTAACTTCGGTGATTGTACGAGAACATTTTGAATAAGTTTGAGCTTGAATGAAAATTTCTGATGGATGAGAAAAGAAAGTCTCAATTGACGTGGTCATATGTTCCTATGAGATCAACATAGCAGATATGTAAATATTAGCCGTTCCCCTATAAGGAAACATTTGGCATCCACTGACCGATTAGCCAGTACTCCTTTTGGTTGAAATTTATAAAATCTTAAAATTTTTCAGGAAAATAGGTTCCTCAAGTCCAGTAGCTGTTATTGTTCTTTCCAATATTGATGGAATTTTCTTTTAAAATTATGTGAAAATGACAACATCTTGATTATATCATTATTTTCTCTTCAAGTTAAATGTGCTATCCATTTTAGTTATTTCTACTACTGGTAGTCTTCAAATGATGTGGTTTCAGTTATTTGATACAGTTCTTTGTGATTCTGTAGCGCTAATCGACACTGTTCAAAGAAGGATTGTCTTTACCAGGCTTCACTCAATGAACGCCATTTTTAAGCGTTGATCTTAGAAAGCGAATGTATATAGCGGACAGATATTTATGAACGTTTTTGTCTCATGCATGGCATCCATATGAAAGTTTCAATCAGACGATGTTATTTAAGAGCATGACCCGAGTTTTCAGGTTGATGTTTGGTTTTGTAGCAATTTGCGGCGTGGGGCGTAGGAAAGTTGGTTCTTTGAGTTGCGCTAGAAAGTTTTTCTCGCTTGAATCCATCCTTCAAATCTATAAATCAATCATTCTCCTTTACATGGAATACTGCTGCCATATATGGTCTGGAGACCCCGCTGTTCGTCTCAAGGTCCTCAGCAAAATCCACAGCCTGGTCTGGCATCTCGCCTACAGTCACTTTCTCACAGACGTGCCATCGCTTCCCTCTGTCTTTAAGTATTTTCAGGGTAACTGCTCCGACGAGCTATTTTCGCTGATTCCCAAACTGCATGAATTTAAGCGTTTTACTAGGTTGGCATCTCAGTCCCACCATTTCACTGTCAAAATGGTTAAATGTAGCCGTCTCTTTTACTCCAATAACTTCATCTCTGGCACTTCCCGTATATGGAAATCCCTTCCTCTTACTTGCTTCCTTGATATTTATAGTCTTCAAATATTCAAATGTGATGTAAATCGATATCTTCTGATGTCTTGATCTAATTCCCCGTTCTTCTCTTCATCTTTTCCTCTATCACTCCTCTTTACTCTTGCTCCCACTCTCTGTAACCCATTGCGTGCTAGTGGCACTCCTGCCTTGCTTGGGGAGAAAAGCTTAAAATAACTCTGGTGCAGCCTATTCTATATTTAATTTCCTTTTCTTCTATTCTAAATTTGTTATAACTGATCCATATGCTGATGTACTAAAATGGTCTAATATTTACTAATTCCATATCCTGAATGTTTATGATGGAATCAAGATAGGTGCCATCACTTCTTTCATTCCAATTCCAGATCATAGTTTCTGTTTAGAAAAGTTTATCTTGAATTCTATTTCTTGGAACACTTGGTAGAGGAACGTTGATTTTCTGTCAATATCATTCTTATCTCAAATATGAATATTTATGTCCTCAGCATATCGTCCTCCATTCCTCATCGTCAGTACATTGGCCTCAGACGGGAAAGCAAAATCGTTGTCTTATTTATAGATTTGTTTGGGAAGTAGTATGGAATGCCTAAATGGTCAGTGCCCATCTCTTCACGTCTGTGCTTGTAAATGCGCAGCGCATAGTCTAGGAAAAAATTGAACAGACAAGGACCCTCATTTCCTCCTTGTCGCACTCCTGATGAGGTTTGAAATGTTTCCGTCAGACATGTAAGATGTTGTAGGTTGATATAGTTCTTCTATTAAATCGATATACTCAGTGAATTCCGAGCTTGGAAGGTGGTTTCTAATGGACGAGAAGACGAAGACCCTATTTATGTGGTCATAGGCTGCCATGAGAGCAAAAAAATAGGTATATAATTTCCTATTGGAGAGGTAAACAACTTCTTGGAGATGTTTGATGACATATATGCGATCATTTCATCTCTTACCCGAATGAAAACCAAACTGGGTTGTAAAGAGTTGACTTTGATAAAATGAGAGCCTAGTTTATAATGTTTATTAATATTTTCACCATGACGGATCCAGTTGAGATACCTCTGTACGTATGAAGGTTTTGAGTGCTGCCTTTCTGTTTCCATAATGCATTAATGCGTGATAGACCTCACTTTTGGAGGTTTCATTTTTGATTCAGACTTCTTTCATAAAATAAAGAAACTTTTTTATTGAATTCGGGAAAAAAGTAAGCGATTTTAAAAATTTCAGCCTCAATGTCAAGCGATGATTTATTATTCCTTAGATTTTTAATAGCTTTCTTGACGCTGCATTTAAATTTTTGAAGATTGTAGTTATCAGGGAAGAAAAAATCAGAAGGGATTTCTATAGATGAGAAGTGCGAGAAACGAAATTGTTGTTAGAGTAAAACGGTGAGTCCTAGCTGTCGATCTATTAGCACGCTTAAATACATGTAGTCGGGGCACTAGGAAAAAAAACTCATCAGAATCGAATAGTTGCCATGAAAATATTTATAGAAAAGACAAAGGGAAGCCTCGTCGGTGGGAAAGTGATTGAAATCGAGATGCCAGGTCAGGACCAATAACATTGCAGACCCTATGAATTTTAACAAGAATCTCGGAATGTACAGCAGGAGAAGCAGACCAGATATGTCAATGAGAAAAAAAAGAAGGATCAGCGTATCAAAATATATGAGGGAAATTAATTTTCACTAAAGAGATGTTAATTGTGATACATATATCAAATTCATACATCAATGACAACAAAAATAAAGACAAATATATTAACTCATAGGATTAACGTTCAGATATAGACCAAAAATTATTTTACTCGCTTAGTAGAGAAAAATAATATGCCAAAATTAAAAAAATATATATATACATATATAGATATATAAATAATGGACAACTGTGCTTGATATAATGTTGGATGTTTTGCCGTAAGGAGGCGTATAAGAGGCGTGTACTTATTCAACTAACATCACATTATCTGAGAGATATTAAGCGTAAACTATGTATGTTAAAATGCTCGATTAAGCACATATCTATTTGCATATATCTGTATCCATCTCTCTATATATATATTGCATGCATGCAGGAACGAATTTATTGAAAGGAAAAGTTTGACATTTTTCTATGCCAAATATACGAGCATTTTTTATAGCAAATGAATCGTAACGATGCGATTAAATAGAAAGTTCTTGACGAGCATTAAAATGTAAATTTGCCATCGCAGGCTAACTCCCAGCAATTTTAGATATTATTAGACATTAGACTGATATCTTGTAACGTTTTAACTAGATGTAAAAATTGTAATTATTATGTATGTGTATATTTACCACTAACATTATCTATCTATCTATCTATCTATCTATCTATATATATATATATATATATATATATATATATATATAACACCACCTAAAACAAACCTAAAGTAATGTAAATATGCCGTCCTATCATCAACCAATGTTACTTCACATTTAATAATGATTTTTACAGGCAAAAATTTGTATTACCAATGAAATGATCGTATGTATCTTCTAAGAATTTTTCGAATCTGGTCCTTTCAAAAATATTTTACCCAAACATCCAAAGTACTTTTGTTACATTGATGATTCTCTACTTATATATCCTCGTGATACTGATTTACCTGGTCTAGTACTTCAACTAAACAAAGTCGGACACAATAGAATTGGAAGAATGCAATTCCTTACCCTTCCTAGATATCAAGCCACAGCTCGTTAACAACAGTTTAAAACTCAGTGTCCACTGGAAAATCAATCAACAAAAGCGACCTTATAAATGTCTATTCTCATCATAACAACAAAATAAAGACCGGCATAATCACTGGATTACATTTAAGAGCACTCAGATTATGCAGCCCAGATTATTTACACGAAGAGAAGAAATACGTTGAAAACATTTTCAAACTTCTCAAGTACCCTAAACACCTAATGAGTCAATAAAATATATTATCCTACCTACTATCTCTTTCAAATCTACATCCAAAACAATAAAAGATCTAGTCAATACTAAACAAAACAATAATAATTTACTCCATCGCCAGTAGTAATTTTCACAAAACATATATATAAGAGAAATATCAAGGAATCTAAATAAAAAGATTATATGAACACAAAAGGCATATTTATTATATTTTCATTTTTAAATAAGTTGGTTGCCCACCGTAACGAGACTCACCACAATTTTCCATTTATTTATATATATATATATATATATATATATATATATATATATATATGTGTGTGTGTGTGTGTGTGTGTGTGTGTGTGTGTGAGTGTGTGATAAATGTGGGTGTATATATACGTGTATTTACATTAGTAAATTTAAGTACCAAGAGTTACAGGTTCTGAGAAACTTATTTTCATGGAAAATTGTTTTAATAGATAAATTTTATAAATTTCAATCGACTGCAGCATTGGTTGTTCGGTCAATGAATGTCGAATGTTTCCTTATTAGGAAACCAGCGAATAAAACTAGTATCATTATCATTTAACTGTCTCTGTTTATAGAGAGAACAAGACAGAGAGAGAGAGAGAGGGGGGTGAGCTAGCTGTTTTTCCCTCTCTCTCTCTCTCTCTCTTTCTTTCTTTCTTTCTTTTTCTCTAGCTAGCTAGCTAGATAGATAGATTCTGATCCATTATACTGAAAGGAACATTATTTACATTGTGAATATATATATATATATATATATATATATATATATATATGTGTGTGTGTGTGTGTGTTTGTATTAAATTAAACGTATGGGCCACAATATTTATCCGCCTGGGCACAAATTGGAAAATACAACGAAAATATAACAGACAGACGGACAAATAGACCTTGACGGTTGAATTTCAGGATGTTTCTTTAAAACCTTACAAATATATGTATGTGTATATGTATTTAGAAGAAGACTAACGCCCCAAAATAGCAGATTCTTCATAACCTATGAAAATA